TCCTTTCAACCTGGCAAACTTTGGCAGTTGTCCCAAGTGGCTGTGAGTTCCCTCCCACAGCAGACCAGCATGGTTTTTGCTGACACCACAGTCCACTCCCATGTTTTTCTGTGGACTATCTCCTCTAATATACTCTTGCCTGGAGTCCATCCTAAGTGGTGCCTCAAGCCTGGCAGTGTACAAAAAGCTCCAGCAGGGGCCAGGACCACTGCAAAGTGACTCCTGGGAGAGGGGACAATAATGACAGAAGCCAGTCCAACAGAAGCCCCACAGTAGTCTGGTAGTCTGGGAGCAAATTTCAGGTCTGACTGCAGGCCCTGACTACCGGTGAAATCTTCTCAGTGGTCAACACAAAAGAAAGGTTTGCAGTTCAGTGCTATTAAGTGCTGGCAAACAACTGGTCTGACTCAAGTCAAGCCTAAGGGTGCCCCCGACTGGCCCACTCACAACACAGGGACCAAACACCTCCCACAACAGGCAGAGAGTCATTGCAAATGACTGGAATGAAGGCAAATGTGAGTCAGCCACAATAGTAGGGCACACACAACCTAGCAGGCACTTCTAAAGTGCCAGGTTCTGGTAACAGGGAACACTGCACTGCAGAGCTCCATAGGACATCTTCTTCTTAAGGCCACTACTTTCAAGAGCAGGAGGCATACCTGAATTTCTTAACATATAGAAACAGACATAGAGAGTTAGACAAACTGAGGGGACAGAAGAATAGGTCCCAGATGAAAGAACAGGACAAAATCAGAGCACGTGAGTTAAATAAAACAGAGATAAATAATATGCCTGCTAGATAATTAAAGTAATGGTCACAAAGATACTTAGTGGACTGGAGAAAAGAGTAGAAAACATCAGTGAGACCCTCAACAGAGAGAGAAAACAAAAAAGAACCAATCAGAGATGAAAAACTCAATAATCAATGAATGTTAAAATTACACTAGATGGAATAAATAGTAGACTAGAGGAAGTGGAAGAATGAATCAGTGACCTAGAGGACAGAGTAATGGAAAGCAATCAAGCTGATCAGGAGAGAAAACTAATAATAAAAAAAAGGAAAATAGACATAGGAAACCTAGTGACACCATCAAGCATAGTATTTACATTATAGGGATCAAAAAAGAAAAGAGAATGGAAGCAGAAACTTTGAAGAAATAATAGCTGAAAACTTCTTGCATTTGAAGAAATCAAATCCAGATCCAGGAGGAACAGAGAGCCCCCAACAAAATCAAACCAAGAAAATCCACACCAAGACATATAGTGATTAAAATGACAAAAAGTAGTGAGACAGAGAGATGATTAAAAGCAAAAAGAGAAAAGAAAACAGTTACATACAAGGGAAACCCCATAAAGCTAACAGTGGATTTTTCAACAGAGACCTTGCAGCCCAGGGAGGAGTGGCATGAAAAAAAACCCACAGCCAAGAATATTCTATTCAGGAAGCCTGTCATTTTAACATAATAGAAAAATACATAGAGTTTCCCATACACACAACAGTTAAAGGAATACATGACCACTAAACCAGCCCAACAGAAATGTAAAAGGCAACTGTTTGAATGGAAAGGAAAGACCATAAGTAGGAGTAAGAAAAGTAGAAAGCACAAAAGCAATAAAATTAAGTTTATCTATAAAAATCTGGTAAGATATTAAAAAATAAAAGGATGTAGAATATAACACCATATGCCTAAAATGTGGGAGGGTGAGGAGTAAAGAATGGGTTCAAACTTTAATGACTGTAACCTTAATATAGACTGCTATATATGCATAAGATGGTATATATAAGCCTATATATATAGGCCTTATATATATATAAGAGATAACAAGTCAAACCATTCATAGATATGCAAAAAATGAGGAGAAAAGGAATCCATACATATCACTAAAAAAGCCAGCAGGGACACCTGAGTGGCTCAGTCAGTTAAGCATCTGACTCTTGTTTTCAGCTCAGGACATTGTCTCATGGTTCATGGATTCAGGCCCCACATCAGGTTCTGTGCTGAAAGCTTGGGATTCTTTCTCTCCTCTCTCTTCCCCTCACAACTTATGTGTGCACTCTCTCTCTCAAAATAAATAAATAAACTTTAAAAAAAGCCAACAAACTGTGAGAAAAGAGAGCAAGGGAAGAAAGTAACAATTTCTAAAAAACAACCATAAAACAAGAAGCATAATGGCAATAAATACCCATATCTATCACTAATTATTTTGAATATAAATGTACTAAATGCTCCAGTCAAAAGACATAGGGGGATGGGATGGATAAAAAAAGCAATACCCATTTATCTGCTGGGTATGAAATGATGCTCATTTCAGACCTAAAGATACATGCAGATTAAAAGTAAAGGAATTGAGAGGCACATGGGTGTCTCAGTCAGTTAAGTGACCAACTTTGGCTCAGGTCATGATCTCATGGTTCATGGGTTTGAGCCCTGGGTCGGGCTCTGTGATGACAGCTCAGAGCCTACAGCTTGCTTCTGATTCTGTATTTCCATTTCTCTCTCTGCCCCTCCCCTGCTTGTGCTCTGTCTCTGTCTCTCAAAAATAAATAAATGTTAAAAAAATTTTTTAAAGTGAAGGGATTGAAAAGCATTTATCATCCAGAGTGAGGTGTAAAGAAAGCTGGGGTAGCAATACATATTAAACAAAATAGCCTTTAAAAGAAACAGTATAACAGAAGACAAAGAAAGACACTATATAATCATAAAGGGAACAATTTAACAAGAAGACATAACAATTGTAATTATTTATGCACCCAACATAAGTGCAGCCAAACACATAAAGTAGCTAATAACATACACATAAAGGAAGTAATTAATAGTAATATAATAATAGTAGGGGGCTTTAACATCTTACTTATCTGATAAAGGGTTAGTATCCAAAATATATAAAGAACTTATTAAATCCAACACCCCAAAACCAAATAATCCAGTTAAAAATGGGCAGAAGACATGAATAGACATTTTTCTAAAAAAGACATACAGATGGCTAGCAGGCACATGAAAAGATGCTTAACATCACTCATCATCAGGGAAATACAAATCAAAACTCCAATGAGACATCACCTCACACCTGTCAGAATGGCTAAAATTAACAACACAGGAAACAAAGGTGTTGGTGAGGATGTGGAGAAAGGGTAGCCCTCCTGCACTGCTGGTAGGAATGTAAACTGGTGCAGTCATTCCGGAGAACAGTAAGGAGGTTCCTCACAAAGTAAAAAATAGAACTACCCTATGATCCAGCAATTGTACTATTTAGTATTTACCAAAAGGTTACAAAAATACTAATTTGAAGGAATACATACACCCTGATGTTTATAGAAGCATTATCAACAATAGCTAAATTATGGAAACAGCCCAAGTATCCTTCACCTGATGAATGGATAAAGAAGGTGAGCTGTATATATATACAATGGGATATTAGCCATAATAAAGAACAAATTCTTGCCTTTTACAATGTGGTGGATAGAGCTAGAATGTATTATGCTAAGTTAAATAAGTCATTCCAAGAAAGACAAATACCATATGATTTCATTCTTATGTGGAATTTAAGAAACAAAACAGATGAACATAGGGGAAAATAAAGAGGCATAAACTGGAAAACAGACTCAACTTTAGAGAACATAGTTACTGGAGGGGAGATGGGTAGGGGAATGGGTCAAATGGGTGATGGCTATTAAGGAGAGCACTTGGGATGAGCACTGGGTGTTGTATGTAAGTGATGTATCACTAAATTCTACGCCTAAAACTAATATTACACTGTATGTGGACTATCTAGAATTTAAATAAAAACTTGAAAAAAAAGAACTTATACAATTGAACACCAAAGAAAAAAATAATCCTACTGAAAAATGGAGAGAGAACATGAATATACATTTTTCCAAAGAAGATATACAGATAGCCAACAGATACATAAAATGATACTCAATATCACTAATTAGGAAAATGCAAATCAAAACCAAAATGAAACATCACCTCACACCTGTTGGAATGGCTAAAATAAAAAAAAGACAAGAAATAACAAGTGTTGGTGGGAATGTGGAGAAAAAAGAACCATGTGCACTGCTGGAAGGAATGTAAATTGGTGCAGCCGCTGTGAAAGACAGTATAGAAGTTCCTCAAAAAATTGAAAATAGAATTACTATATGATCCAGTATTTTCACTGCTGGCTATTTACCAAAAGAGAAAAAAAACCCACTAATTCCAAAAGATATGCAACGTTATGTTTATTATAGCATTATTTACAGTAGCCAAGATTTGGAAGCAACCAAAGTGTCCATCTATAGATGAATGAATAAAGAAGAAGTGCATATATATATATATATATATACAATGGAATATGACTCAGCCTTAAAAAATGAATAAAATGAATTTTTCTTTAAGCATAGCATAATTTTGTAAGTCTAATTATTCTTGCCTAATGAAAAACAAAATGTACTTCTGACCAAACTTCAAGAATCCTATATACTCTTTCAGGCCACACTATTCTTTTGATTCACAGATTCATTCAACAGGTATCAAGAACAGTGGAAGACTCCGTGCTAAAGCAAATATAAGTGAATGATTTATGATAGTTGATTTAGGAGCCATCTACACTTGAGGAAACAAATAGTATTTATTTATTTACTTATTTTTAAGTTTGTTTATTTTGAGAGAGAGAGAGACAGAGAGAGTGAGCGGGGGAGGGGCAGAGAAAGAGGGAGAGAGAGAACGCCAATCAGGCTCCGTGCGGTCCGTACGGAGCCCCATGCGGATCTCAAACCCACAAACCATGAGATCATGACTGAACTGAAACCAAGAGTAAGATGCTCAACTGAATGAGCCACCCAGTCCTCCAAATTTTTTAGTACTTGGTGAATTTTATCACTTACCCCCTTTCACCAGGTCTCCCTCTCTCCTTCTCTCTCCTCCTTCCCTCATTCTTTCTCTCCTTCCCCCCCCCCCCCCCCCCCCCCCCCCAACATCCCTTAACTCTCCACTGGAATAAATATCCCTTTGACTTACGTGGGCTGGATCAGCATGGATGACTGAGGCCTAGGCTGTCTATCTAAGCTGCTTTCAGCCATACTGGTATTGCGAGGTTCAGTCAGAGGACAGTAGGGATGTGCAGGGACACTAGGACTGTGGCACCAAGGACTGCTATTAGGAAAAAGAGTTGGTGGATTTTCTTTTTCTCTGTAAAAAAAAAAAAAAAAAATTAAGCCCAAAGTGAACCCAAAAGGTATCTTATATAGTTCATTAGCAATGAAGCCTCAGTTAAAGTGAAAGATGTTTTAAGACCAAAAAACTTGTCTTTTCTAGACCTTGTGGGCAGTGCTTTTATCACAACATCAGAAGCATTTGCCCATACATTTATCAGAAGCATAAATTCTGCACGTTAAGCCACAAGCCAACTCTTGATCCAAAATGAAATTCCTCGATGATTCACCTCTCCTTCCACTCAGGCACTGCTAAAGCCATGGAGATAACTTCATCTCTTCACCTCTCTGCAGCCTTGCCCCTAACAGAATTGTCATTAAGAAGTGAAATGGCCAGAGGGGTCTTGATATTGCCCCGTGGAAGTCACCAGCCTCTACTGTCCCAAGACTATAGCCCTGCTTTCTCTGTGCTTTTCACAAAACACAAATAGTATTATGGTTTTACCATCCTACTTGAAATAGGATTTTTTTGTCATTATTTATTTACCTATTCATCATGTATCTACTTGTCACGCAGTTATTCCCAATTGTTCAGTTAAAAAAATTTTTTAAAAAGCCAAACAACTTTTACCTTTTAAGAAAAACTCTGACTCGTTCCATCTGATTTTTTGAGGTATCTTTATTATATTTGTCTTGTTTTTCTTTAGTTGTAGATATAGCTGTTGGCCAATGAAACATGTGTCTTTGAGACGCTGGACTTACATGAATTGAGCATCTGTCAAATTCAATGTCAGTCTCTAATTTCTCCCACGCTTGCTTCCAGTGAATAGGAGTGTACCAGGCAACAGCCTAACAAAAATGATTCATTAATATCAAATACCAATGGTGTTAGATACATTTTTTAAAATGTCATAGACTTATTGCAATAAAATTTCAAAGTCAAACAATTTAATGTCACTCACTCACTATTTGTGAATTAATGAAACACACAGTGAGAACGTAGTAAGACATCCTGGCCTTAGTTTCCAATTATGAAAATTACAAGCTGCATAACCTCAGACACATTAGTTGCTTATTACCTGGGACTGTGTCCTCATATGTGAAATGGGGAGGGTGGTGGTCGGGAGTTGTTATATGAGGGTGTTGTGAGATTCAGCTAAGCTACTAAATTTCATTAGCTATAAAGAACTATGCAAAAAACAGTTGTAATGTTAATAGCAAATTTTGAATATTTAATATATAGATGTATATGTGTATGTATATGAGCAAATGGGCAGTAGAACTAGATTCATGGAGAGGAAATGATAATCTTTGAGCCGGAATCCTAGGTAGGACTCTTAAGGAGACTCCTGACTGAGTTTCCTGGGGACAGAAACCATGCAATACTTAAGCTCTTTTTTCCTAGCACCTTGCTTAATGTTTGGCAGACACTAAGAAATATTTCCCATATGAATGAATTGATCAGTTTCACTAGCAAATAAAGTTGTGTTTATATCACCCTGCAGAAATAATCTGATCCTATATGTGCAAAGTAGTTCAAATCAGAGGAAAAGGAGCAGTAAGTATAAGTACAAAGACTAATTCCATTGCAGGGAATGGCCATTTACTCAAACGGGCATTCCAGGAGCTCAGAGATCTGGCCTCTCTGGTTCAACACTCAGTGCCTGGGAACAATGTGCACACAAAGTAGAAACCCCAAATGTGTTTGCAGAGTGAATAATTGGGTAGATAAGTGTGATGAAAAATCTAAAACAGGAATTCCTTAATCCTAGTCTGCTAATGAGTTTTTACCAGGCTGAGTAAATAATTTAGATTACATCACCTTATTTTTCCCATCAGTGAGAATCATTAGAAGTGTTTTAAAATTCAGTTTGATCCTGCTGAAAGATCTAAAGGTAAGTGAGTAAAGGCATCAAAAATTACAGCAGATGCGTGTACCCCTTGTCTAACAACTGCTGTTCTTACAGGAAGACATTAAATGGCTCTTAAGTTAGTAAGCCTACTCAAAAGAGACAGTACAATCTAAGCAGAAAGACAATCAGAGAGATAGATTCCAATCAACTATTATCTGGATTACTAGTTATATGACATAGTAAGTTAGACTGGGGGTAAGAAAAAAAAAGGAGGTATTTAAAAAAAAATCAAAATAACGTTTTTGCAAAAAGATTAACTTTTTTTATTGTAAACAAAGATACTTTTCAACTTTATTAGTGCGTCTTTGGGCATATATTTATACTTATATTATGCTAAGGAAAAGGTAAGGTGGAATATATAAAATTGTCAAGTACTAGGAATGAGTTACTCCAAATTATTACTAATATGCTAAATTTATAATGAAGTTGAGGGGTGCCTGGGTGGCTCAGTTGGTTAAACATCCGACTTCGGCTCAGGTCATGATCTCAGTTTGTGGGTTCGAGCCCCACGTTGGGCTCTGTGCTGACAGCTCGGAGCCTGGAGCCTGCTTAAGATTCTGTGTCTCCCTCTCTCTCTCTCTCTTTCTGCTGCCCCTTCCCTGCTCATGCTCTCTCTCTCTCTCCCCAAAATAAATAAAAACATTAAAAAAATTTATAGTGACATTGAATTTAAAATATAGTTGTTACAAATTAGAGTATAGATTCTTTCATTAGAATATTAGTCTCTTAAAATAATCTCAGCACTTATTACAGCCATTGTAATAGACAATAATCTCAACAAATATTTGAGAAATGAATAAATGAATAGAAAATGCCTCTGTGTAATACATTTCTTTCTTATTCTATTCTTTGGCCTAAATATCATAAATAAAATCCATCCCTGATTCTAATATCTGAAGTAACTTCTTAGAAATATGGGCTATGAAAATTATCTTTGCCAAATTGTAAGTAGCTCTTTGGCATTTTTGCCCTGGGAAGAGGGTGCTGTTGATTTGCCTGACATGTTATTGTAGTTGGTGACAGTTCTATCGAAGCTTGTAAGGATGGAAAATAATTGAGTCAGCTAAGAGGAGAAGGGGAATCTAAGGAGAGCTATCCATTCTTTTAAAAGCTATTATTGATAATCAGACACTGACTTCACCATTAGGTTTGCACAGAATTGTTGTACAATCTGGGCTTGTTTTAAACTTGTTTTGTTCTCTCCAAAGAAAATCTGACGGTGGCTGATGCTTTGCTTCAGATTCAGCTGCCCACACCTGTAAGAAAATGGTTTGTTACTGTCAATGCCATTGCAGCTTCACATAGTTTGTTTATGTCAGGGGGTCATGGCAATGTGTCATTCTGAGCACATGAGGTTTTAAAATATGACCATATAATGTATAATGTCAGCTGTGTAACACCAAGCTACTGTTCATGGCTTAAAGGAAAGCACAAGAAAGGGACCTTCCAGCATCAACTAGTTACTGTTCTCTAAGAAAACAATCTCTTTTGTTTTCTTTTAGGGATTATATTTGCTCAGTTTTAGGAACCTAAGAATTTCCTTTTAATAGTGAAATCATAAAAACAAAAGGTATTGTACATCAAATTGAGGAAATCAATGGAAATTGAATTATGGGTATTAATTTACATCCAGGGATGGACAAAGTGGCACAAATATCCAACAACAATGAGAAATCACATTTTACATAGAGATCAAATGATGAAGAAACAACTGGTGCTGAGCCCGTCTGGCTGGGTAAATGAGTTTTTCCTGTACAATTCTAGTTCATAGCATCATAGCATTAACATTTGACACTCACTGTTACTGTGCAATTGGCCTGCATTATGATGTTTGGAAGGAAGCGGTACAAAGAGATTGTTTGTCCATTCACTTTTTGCTGGAGAATATAATTTCCAATCTCCAGTTCTTTGTCAAGAGAAGAGTTAATGAGCTTCACGAACAAACCCTTGACATTTACTTCAGCTATTTTAATGTCTCCAAGAGTACTAAAAAATAAAACATAAAGATTATAAGGTGACTTGAGAGAAGTGTGTCTATAGTCTATTTTAAGGGCTGAATAATATGCTTTGAAAGTACAATTTCAAATAGCTGTATAGTCTACTGAACACAGTCTATGTAGAAATGGTGTATTTTATAATCGAAGACAAATGGCTTGATCTCTGAGTTCTGATTGTTTATCTATGAAACAAAATTCTCTCTTTCACATAAAATAATTCAAGAAAAGTTAAAAAGTGCTTTAGGTGTCAAAGTATAAATGCCATAGGAATATGTGTTTATCATTATTTAAATTTCCTTCTGTTCATCATAAAAGCACTGAGACATGAAACTACCAAATAAATAAAGATAAAAGTTAAAGTATTTATATTATTTCTGATAAAGTTACTGTGAAGATGTATAGCAACTACATGATTAAAAGACTTCTGCAAACTTAAAATATTATACAAACATAAGATGGTAATTTTTTCCTCTAATGTGTTGAAAGCCTAGTGTGTAGCAAGGACTAGGCTAAACATTTATCTGTTAGCATTTCTTAGAGTGTGGGTCACAGCCCAGTAGTTCATCATGAAGTCCCTTTGGTGGGTTATAGCTATCATTTTAAAAATGAAATGCCAATAAGAATAACTGATCATTATTATGTCCGGGTGCATTGTAAAGATTATATCTATAACTGCAATTTCATATCGACAAATCCAAAATCCAAAAACTTCTAAAAAACCCCAAAACTTAAAAACACATTTGACATTGTGATGAGCACTGGATGTTGTATGTAAGTGATGAATCACTAAATTCTATCCCTGAAACTAATATTGCACTGTATGTCAATTAACTGGACTTTAAATAAAAACCTAACAAAAATATACATTTGAAGAAAAATCTGACCTGAATTCTTTTGGTGGCAAAATCTGACCTGAAACTCTTGGGAGGCTCTTCAGAGCTACATTTGTGGTTTGTGTGATTATTAATTATGTTTGGTTATGGAAAGATTAATGTTTGACTTTGGATACTTTTCTAAGCCCTGATGGGGTGTTATGTAATATGTGTTCTTGTCATCATATTACTTTCCTCAAATCCCCCAAATTATGAATTTTAAACACATTAAGTCCCCAAATATTTTGGGAAAGGCATTGTGAATTCATAGATATTCATTTAATCCTCTTACTGAAGGCCATGGTAAAAAAAATTGAGGGACACTAATATTTCATGTAATTCTCACGACAACCCAGTGACACAAGTACTATTTTTAGTCCCATTTTACAGACAAGGAAACTGAGGTTTAGAGAGATTGCCATGTCCAAGAGTACTCAATAAGTGTTAGCACTTGTTCTTCTGTCCCACTCAACTAACACATTCTCAAAGAGATTTGATGCAAACATTCAAATTGTTTAAGCCTGGTGGTTGACTACTGCTACAAAATATGCACACATACACATGGATAAATTGCTGCCACAGAATAAACTGGTCTTCAACCACAGGTGGGCCTTTAATGATTCCTTTAGTAACTAGCGGTAAGAGGTGTGTGTGTGTGTGTGTGTGTGTGTGTGTGTGTGTTTTAGCAAGTTGTGTTCTTCATGAGCTGAACCAGCATGGTTCGTCATTCCCCCAACAGTGTACAAATACTTGCCTCACATCTCCATCCTTACTCTCAGCAAATAATCTCACTAAGAAAACAGGACCATCAGAGAGAAGTGTGTTTTCTTGCTTTCCACTTAAAAGCAGGTTCACCCATACCCACTTTACCTCTTCTCTGTTCCAGCCCATCTTGTTACAGTGGAACAGGGGCTCTTCTCCCATGTACAGTGAAACCTCTGCTCACCACCTCCTCCTGCTGCTTCAGCACCTCAGTCCATTTGTTATTCTCCCTTTGTCTTTTAATACTAACCTCTCCTTCTACACTGCCCCTTCTCCCCAAATACATAAGAATCTTCAAACTGCTACCACCTTTAAAAAAACAACCTTCCTCCATCTTCACTTAATACTGTTATTACAGTCAAGCTTTTGGAAAGACTATGTTAGTAATTCACCTCTTATTCACTCCTCAATCCACTACCATCTACTTCTGCCTTATTCCAAGATGACCAATATACTTTTGGTTGGTAAATTGAGATAAGTTGACTGGTTACTTACTTTTTATTGAGATATAATTGAAAAATATTATATCAGTTTCAGGTTTACAGCATAATGATTTGATATTTGTATACACTGAAAAATGATTGCCACGGGTCTAGTTAACATCCACCACCATACATAGTTATGATCTACTCTCTTAGCAACTGTCAAATATGTAATACAGTATTTTTATTGATGTATAATTGACATACAATATTCTATTAGTTGCAGGTGTATTTCATAGTGATTCAATATTTTTACACATTACAAAATCATCCCCATGATAAGTCTAGTTACCATCTGTCACCATATAAAGTTATTACAATATTATTGACTATATTCTCAATGCTGTACATTACATCAGCATGATTTATTTTATAGCTCAATGTATGTACCTCTTAATCCCCTTCACCTATTTCACCTAGCCCCAAGCCCTTGCAAGTCTTGTAACCAACAGTCTGTTTTCACTATCTATCAGTCTGTTTCCGGTTTCTTTGTTTTGTTTTTTAGGTTGCACAAATAAGTGAAGTCATATGCTATCTGTATTTCTCTGTCTTGCTTATTTCATTTAGAAGTATACCCTCTAGATCCATTCATGTTGTTGCAAATGGTAAGGTTTCATTCTTTTTTATGGATGAGTATATATAAATATTATATATATATACCACATCTTTATCCATTCATCTATTTGATGGACACTTATGTTGCTTCCATTAACTTGGCTATTGTAAATAATGCTGGAATAAACATAGGGGTGCCATATATCTATCTCCTGAGACTGTTTTAATTTTTGGGCATATATTCAAAAGTAAAATTTCTGGATCATATGATATTAATTTTTCGAGGAACTTTCCTACTGTTTTCCACAGTGGCTGTACCAACTTACATTCCCACCAACTCAATATTTATCTTAATGTCTCTGTGGTATTTGCCTCTGTAAGATATGCCTTCTTTTTTGGGACTCTTCTCCTTGTTTACCCAAGTCCACAGTTTCCTTCTATTGGTCTGGTTGCTCCTTTTTGGTCTCTCAGTCTCTCTCTTTTTTCTTTTTAGTCTCTTTTTCAGATTTTTCTTCTTCACCCATCCCTCAGATATTGATCCTTGGATTCTGTCCTTAACCCTCTTTTATTCTCATCATACTCCATATATGTGATATCATCTATAAGTAAGGCTTTAGTAACCATTAATACACCATGACTGCTATATCTAAATCTCTTAGACTTTCCAGCTGAGCTTAGAACCCATAGAAACAATTGACCATAGACCCTGAAGGTGCCTCTGAATCACCATTCCCCAAATTGAACTCATCATTTGGGAAGAGTGGGAAACTTATTCTAGTGAATTACATCATCATTTATTCTGTTGGCCATGCCTGAAATTTCCATTACTTTCACATTCTCTTAACCTTACCTTATCTATGACCAAATACTATTGATTCTATCCCTATATTCTCCTATATATATCCCCTTTTCTCCATCCCTATTGCTGCTATCTTCATTAGGCTCCCATCACCTCTGTGTGATATTATAACAGTGTCTCTGTGGTTTCTCCAGTGTTTTACCCTCCTAACTAGTCTCAATTTTGCTTCCAAGCAATCTCTGTACAAGGGTAAACCCTTCAATGTCTGACCATTTACTTCCAGAGAAAACATCAGCTTCATAGCATGGAAACAATGCCATACATAATCTGTCAGGCTTGTTAATTTCTTTTTTTCCCCTACCTTCTAGCTTTGCTTAAACTGCAACCATGAAGGATTTAACACAAGGCTTGTGACAATTCACACCATTGCATGCTTTACCCACTGTCTATGCAAGGGTCCCTCTTGTTCCCCACATCCCTACTAACACTTAAAATTTTCAAATTTCTTAATATTTTCAATATCATGGGTACAAAATGGTATCTCATTGTTATTTTAATTTGTTTTTCCTTGATTATAGTTAAGTTGAATAAGTTGAATATATTGTTAAACACACCTATTTCTGAAATAGTAATTTCTCTTATTGGAATTTTTACTTCTAGAATTTCCTCTTGATAATTTAATGAGAATAAACTAATAAAATATTTATCTTGTCATTTAATTCTTTGAATATTTAGTCATTGTTATTTTAAAATCCCCGTCAGATAACCATAATATCTGCACCATGTAGGCCTGTTTTTAGTGTCCATTTTTAACCTTAGTTTTTAGTCAACTTTTATTATTTTGTATGCCTTGTAAATTCTTAGCCTTGGGTGACCCTTTGAAGTTCCAACTGAAAGCCTGGGTTGTTTGTCAGTGGTCCTCCTTCTTGATAGGGCCTGAATCTCGATATTTATTCACCAGTCCTATGAGAGTGCCAATATAGTATTAACTTCTCAGCTTCTTAGCTGCTGGTTTCAAATTAACAACTGTTTTGAGGAGAAAATGGCTCCAAATATCAGGCTATCACTTTGAGTTTCCTCTCCTGAAGAGGAATTGTGAGAATAGAGGATGTAAACATCCATGAAGTCTCAATATACACTACCAAACTGCTTTAAAAATAGTGGTCTCATTTCATACTTCCATTGCATTTGTATGAGAATGGCTGTTTTGTAGAGGTTTACTTTTGAGTGACTTGCATACCTATTTTTTCTTTTGCATTATCATTACGGTTCTTACTAAATTCTTAAATAACATTTTACTCTTCTTTGCCTAGAATTCCTCTGTCATGTCATCTTACTGTTACTGAATTCTCTGTGAGATATTTTAATTTCTTGATAAAATGCCTTTTTGTTTTCCAGACTTGCTTTTTTTGCATTGTAGATGAGCACCATTTTGAGTTTTGCTTTTAAACAGATAAGACCCTAGAATAGTGTAGTTGTCCTTTTGTTATCATACATGTAATGGAATATGCACAGTTGC